TTTTTTTTTTTTTCTTTTTTTGTTTCATGTCTTATTTTTATCTTTATCGTATTCTTTGTATTATTATTGTTTTCATTATTATTTTTTTTTGTTATACGTTTGTATTTTTGTTTAACCACATTCTACTCTTTGGTTTTTCTTTTTATGTCATTTTTATTTTTTTTATTATTCTTCTTTTCCCACGGATTTTTTTTTTGTGTGGTTTATTATTATTATTATTTAGATTCCTCCACAGTTGGAAAAAAACAAAAAGAAACGTTAGTCATGAAGGGGCTTGAAATACCTGTCTTCTTCACAGATGCTGGAGCTCCTCCTTCGCTGATGTTCTTAATAACATGGGCCGTTATTTCAGTGTTATCATTTCTTATATTTGCGGTGGCCCGACCCGCATCTGGTGTTATTCCATTATCGCGTCGTAACGGGAAAGTAACGTCGATTGGAGCTCCCTGGTGGGTGCAACAACTTCATTTGTGTGTGTTAACGTGGTTATTGTTTGATGTTGTGTACCGTGGATATTCATATGTGTTTCTCTCCTCCCCAGTCCTTTGGCGTCGACACATGCTTCCGCTTCATTTTGGTACATTTGGAGTTTGGTTGAATTCTATTCGATTTGCGGTTTTTTGTGGTATGCAGAGTAGTAGTAGTAGTAGTAGTAGTAGTAGTAGTAGTAAGAAGACTAAGAAGGAGGATCCAATGTGTTTAGACTGGCAATTGCCATTTTCTGGATTTGTTTCCAATTCAACACGAATGGCTGTACAAAAAGTCCCTATGAGTGAAATGGAGAGAAGTCGTTGTCATTTGGTGACGTTTGCAACTGTAGGAACAATGTTGTGTTTGGCTGTTTCTCTCTGCAGTGTACTTCTCCGCCTATTTCCATCGCGGTGTTCTTCTTCTTCTTTAGATGCGGAGGAAGAGAAGAAAGATCAAACGGTGGAGGATCTCTCAGACTCTGCGGTGGAGGAAGATCTCTGGTGGGATATGGGAGAGCCAGACGATGCGTGTTTGTGCAGTGCAGAGGCCATCGCAGAGGAGGAGTATTGGAAGGAATCCGATACCACTAAATCAACCAATACAAATTCAATAAATACAAAAACATTAGAGAAGAACTCCGTAGAATGTGAAGAGAAACAACAAAAACAACATCATTATTATCATAATAACATGAAAGTTATTTTACAGGAATGTTGGCCTGTTCTGTGTTCCATTTGCTATGCAGGTCTCTATGCATACAATGGCGGTCTTCCACTGTTGATGCGCTGGGTGTATCCCATCTGCACAGTACTCACATCCATCTGTACTATAATGGCTTAAAAACAGTATTTATTACATCCTTCTTTCTTGGCGTTTGACCTTCTTAACAAAAAAAAAAAGAAATCTTTTACTTTTTATTTTTCACTGCTTTGTGGTTCTTCTTTATTACCTTTGCAAAGGATTAAAAACAAAAACAAAAAAAAGAGACATTTGTGTTTTTTTTTTATTTTTTATTTTTTTACTTTTCTCTTTAGTTTTATTTTAGTACTAGAAATTCGTTTGATTGAAAAGTAATCAAAACAAAAAAGAAGGGGGATTTTCTTTACGTTTTCTTTTATTTGTTTTTTCTTTTTTTTCGTTTCTAGCGAAAGTATTATTATTATTATTATTATTATTATTATTATTATTATTATTATTTGTTATTATTATTGGTGATTTGGTTCTTCATTATTTCTAGAACGCAGGATGCTTAACGGTGCGGGTAGTACTATAACTCAAGACCATGCCCTTTACGATTCCCCAGCAGCGCATAGTGGCGGTGTAGATAAGAAATACAGTCATCATGCCTGGCGATTTGCTGTTCAAGTCTCTGTTCTTCTTTGGAAAGAGTGTCTCCATCATGTACGCCGGCCATGGAAGTTGTTGTTGGGATTACTGTTACCCGCACTTGTGGTGGTTCTCTTTGGATACGCCGTTATTTTATCTCCCACGGCGTGGATAGAACCATTTGTGTATACACATACTCCAGAAGTAACTCCACATGCCGTTATCCCAAATGAGAGTTTAATACAATTGGTGTGGGAAAAAGATATGGAGAGTGTTACAAATTGGCGTTATGTCTTTGATGAACTTAATATGACTTCATTCTTTATAGATTATGCCGTAATGGTAGCAACATTAAGACGAGCCACAAATAGTCTTTATGAATATGATTCCGTTGAATGGAAAACGGAAGAAGTTTCACAAACACTTCTTTCTAATCGTTATGCAGCTATGCCTTTTAAAGTTCCTACATTAGATGCTTACATAAACATGATAGATGCTGCAAGTGTACATATTGGTAAACTAGGAATGAAGTTTACAATGGTTATGGATCCTTTATTATATTTTATTTTTCATTTTGGGAAATTAGCATTTACTGTTAAAAATGATAAAGACCTTAATTTAATTACAGCAGGAGTACGATTAGTGGAGTATCTTAACGTAACAACTAAATCTTTTAAAAATACAGTTTTATGTCCTTCTCAACCTGTTTTAGCGGGAAATACGAGTTGTCTCTTTCATAGTGTACGTGAAGTATCGAAGGCTCTTTCTCAACAACAACAACAACACTCAAAGCGAGAAGAGACCCTTTGGGCCATTATACAATTAGAAAAGATATCTGTACATCCCACGGAATTTCGCTACACTATTTTTATCAATGAAACTCTTTTACAGTCATCTCAAACAATAGAAGCCTTTCCACAAGGTTTGGGAAAAGATTATGCCATGTACGCCTACAATGGCGTGTTAACCTTACAGTATGAACTCAACACATATTTTAACAGTTTAGCCAAACATCCAGGGAAGCGACGAAATCTTTCTTTAACATCTCTTGTAGATGGTATATGCAGTACTGTGCAAACAACCAATAACGCCACTCAGGATATGTTTGAACAACCTGAAGAAACGGAACGGCAAGAGTATATTAAGAATGCATCTGAAGAAAAACCTATTCAAGTATTACGTTCTGAACCTTTTCTAGATGTTAACGCTATTTATAAACCTTGTTTGTATGAAGTGGATGCATTTTGTAGTGACTCTAACGACACAACATCACTCTTGAAATGTCTGGAAGATAATAGTAGTAAAGATAATTTCTCTAAAATATGTCTTGCTGCTCTTAAGTTTGTTAATAAGTGTCTTCCATTAAGTAGTGAGTGTCAAAAAATAAATCCATATTTACTTCTTACGACTAACTCTTCTTTACTACCTCAATGTGCAACGTCTCTTAGTAGTGGTTGCACGGAAGAAGATTTTATAAATGAAGTAAAACAGACCAAAAATGTATTAAAATGTTCAGAAGATTTAAAAAATGTTTGTTACCCAGGAACTGCAAGTATTTTATTTCAGTGTATGGGATACCCAAAAGAAGTGGCTGCAACTCTTACAAATGAGTGCCGTACAGTTCTTGAATCTTTTTTACCATGTTTGGATGAATATTGGTCTATTTGTCCAATGGGAAAACTTGGGAAAAATGGAAGTATTCCATACGCATGTCTTTATAATAATAAACGTATTTTTAGTACAAAATGTCAAGATACAAAGTTTGTAAAGAGTATATTGCCATCTTTATTTAGTCAAAAAGCTATTAGAGAGGAAATTCCAGCATCTATGTATTATTGTCGTGAGGTACATGATATTCATAAAACTCTTCAAAATAGTGTTGTTGTTGAGGCTTTTCCTGCAAATGGATATACTCAACAAATGTTTTTTCTTACAGGGGGTCCATTTTTGGGATTAGTAATTGCCGTTGCATATTATTTTCCCTTTGTATCGACTATTCAATCTATTGTTCATGAACGGGAATCTTGGAAGTACAAGTATCTTATCATTATTGGGACTCATCCATTAGCTATATTTCTTAGTAAATTTTTGTCAAATTTTATCGGATCTATTATGATTTCACTTATTACAACGTTGTCTATAGTATGTTTTGTAGATATCCCAAGTTCAGAAGTGTATAGTTTACTTTATATGTATTCTCTTAGTATTAGTGCGTTGGGAATGTGTCTAGGACAGTTAATTCCTAGTGAACGAATGGCTACCCTTATTACTCCTTTTATTGTATTTTTATTTGTTACTCCTGCACTTGTTGGAGATCAAACAAGTGAACTTAAAGGAGCATCCATGCTTCTTCCTCAAACTGTTCTCGCAAAGGCCTTTTCACAGCACACACGGGTTGTTCAGGCAGACTTTGTTGAGGCTGTACAAACTCCTTCTATTTTACAACCATTATGGATATTATTCGGTTTAACATTATTTTATAGTGTTATCGCTATATTATTAGAATATATTTTCCTTCCAAATTCACCTCTTGAACGTATGTTACGCCGTTTTACGGTGTGGTTGAGAAAAATGATGAATCGATTAATACGATATGGAAATCGTCATGCAGTTCGTTACTATGAAGGTGAAGAAATGTCATCTAGAGGAGGTCCCCTTGTGTCTCTTGAAGAAGAAGAAGAAAAAAATAAAAATTCAAGAAAATCTGTAATACGAGAATCTAATCTTGAATTTAATATTGGTGGAATTAGTAATGATCCTAATAAAACTTTAGGAAGAGAAGAACATATGGATATGGTTGATATTTCTTCAGAAAGAATGTCTAGAGAAGAGGTAGGGATAGCTAACGGTGAAACATTAGCTTCTTTTATGTCTCCACATCCTCAAGAAAGTCAAGTGCGACGTTCTTCTGGAATTACGCCAAAAGTACCAAAAAGTTGGCGTTCCACTATTACAGCTCGTAATCTTTATACGGTTAGCCTTGCAAAACACATGCAATTACAACTTCCCTCTGCTGATTTCTACCAAAATCAACTTAATTGTGTTGTAGGAGGCGATACATCAGGGAATAGTCTTTTGCTTGAGATATTAATGGGATGGTCTGATATTACAAGAGGTGAAGTGAAAGTAGATGGAAGAGATATTTATTTAGGAAATGATGCTGATATTGGAATATGTCTTGCGAAAACAGTTTTATGGGAGAATTTAACTGTAATGGAAAATATTCGTTTTATTCAAATGCTTAAAGGACGTACTTCTGATTATGAAGAATTACGAAAAGAAGCGAGTATACTTTTTTCTGCTTTACAGCTTGTTTCCGTAACTCGTGAATTGGCTCATCGACTTTCATCTGGTATGGCAAGAAAACTTGCTGTTGCTATGGCATTAGCAGGAGGATCTCGTACTCTTTTATTAGATGAACCTACTCTTTCCACAGATCCTTCTTCACGGACAGAGATTTGGCATCTACTTTCTCAGAATGCTGCCGGGCGATGTATTGTTGTTTCTACTAGTGATGTTGAAGAAGTAGATACTTTTGCAGATCATGTCACTGTTCTTTTTGGCGGGGGCGTAACACTTGCAGGAACGCCGGAGTATATTCGGCAGAAACTCAAAGGCGGTTGGGTCGTAACGGTCTGCCGTGCTGTTACCACTCGAGTCTCTGTTATTATTGATCGTGTCTTGTCTATAGTTCCAGAGGCAAAAGTTGTGAGTAGTGTCGGACGTGAGGTCTCTTTTCGTTTAACCAAAAATTTAACCGAGGATGCCTTAAATAATCTTCTCACGGAACTTCAACAGACGAGAGAAGCGGGTCTTATCACAAATATTATTGTTTCAGATATTCGACTTAGTGAGGCATTTGTGCAATTAACGCGAGTCTTGGATCTTCAGGAGAGTCAAAGAGGTGATGTTCAAACAACAACTGATGAGAACACTGCAGCCAATGGTGATTATATCATGATGCCATCATCAACAGGAGAAACAGCAGAAACACTGGACCCATTAAATAATAATAATAATAATAATACAAGTGATGCGGAGAGTCAGAGAAATATACCTGGGTTAAGAGAAGATTTTGAATACTTAAAAAATAAGAGATTTATTACTACTTATCGCGCAATTGTGTATTACCGTGCGTTAGAAGCTATTTTTACACCATTTTATGGATTATTACTACTAATGTTACCTTTAGTGATGATATTTTTTGCCTTATCTTCTTTAGGGGCTACTTTCAGTAACAGAGAGTTAAGTGAGATTGCTGTTCTTAATTGGCAATTATCCTCTAATCCCAGTATATCGTTTTACAGTGATTTTGGAAAGGATTCATCTCCTTACGAAATGCTTCCTAACCTTCTTCAAGATAAAATGATACCAGGAACTAATTCTCTTTTTACAAATATAACCCATTATGGGAATTTGTCTAAAAATGATCGTAGCAGTGTTTTTATGGATCGATTTTTAAGGGAAAATACGACATTACAATCTTTTCATTTTGGTGCTTTTGTAATGCAAGGACCTATTATAACTAGTTCAGATGAAACTAAATATCCAGCCGTATTTCCATGGTTAACAGATGTTGTTCTCTGTAATACTTCCTTTCCACTTAGTGTACCTGCTTATGTAGAGATACTAACAATGATGCGTCTTTGGGTAGCAGAAAACAATACAAAGGGCATTATTAGTGCTTCACTTGGTCCACTTGGAAGTATAGAAGAAAAGGAAAAAGAAAAAAAATCTATATCACCATTAACAACTGTTGATGTTATAAATACATTACTACTTGTACTTCCTTTTTCTTTTTATGGTACTAGAATGGTTTCAGGTCTTGTTCAACAACGATACAGTGGACTTTTACAAGTTTTTCGAACCTCATCTCTACGTCCCTTGGCTTATTGGGCAGCAAACTTTACTTATGATATGCTGAGTTTTACTATATTGGCATTCCTTGTTGTTTCAACTTATATTTTTGCTGGTGTAAATATAGATAATAATAATAATAACGGTACAAGCTTCTTTTTGATTTTTGGTCTTATTATTGTATTTGGTTGTGGTATAATATCACTCTCTTATCTTCTTAGTAAATGTTTTGATAATCCCCTTTCTGCTCAATCTACTATAACAGGTATTGGAATATTTACAGGGTTTTCCTTTCTTATTGCATCATCTGCAGTTCGTTTTCTGCCATCTAATCCTCTGACAAGTGAAGTGAAAGAAAGTAATGAAGTTTATTCATTATGGATGCGATTTCTTCCTCATTATTATTTGGGTGAGACATTTTTAAGTTATAGTATGAGATCTGTTTCTTACTCTTCAGAAGTTCCTCCCATATTTCGTGTACAACCATTATTAATTTTTCCTTTGCTATTTATTCTTCTTGTTATTTATGAATCATTGATTGAAATGAATGTGCGTATATTTATACGAGATAAAATTTATCTTGTAATTGGGAAAAATATAAAACGTTTTGGTATATATTTGCGTCAATTTTTAAATAAAGATAATACTTTACTTGTGGAGGATTCTAAAGTGTATAGATGGGAAGATCCATCAGGACTTATTGTATGTGAAGATACTTCTATTACGAATGAGCGAGAAAAAGGTTATACAGCAGATGGATTACATGTGGAAGAGTTATGGAAATTACGCCATGATGTATATGCCTTACAGAATATAACAGTAAATGTTGAAAATGAAACTTTAGTCGTAGTTGGTATTAATGGAAGTGGGAAAACAACACTTCTTAAGTGTATTGTAGGGGATATTCTTCCATCATATGGTAGTATATTTGTAAATGGTAGTTGTTGTACAGGTCAAAATCTTTCTAGGTTAAAAGCTAATAGTGATATGGGATACAGTGCAGAATCCTTAATTTTTGAAGATAGTAGTATGACTCCTTATCTTTTCCTTAATATTATGGCGGATCTTCGTCTCATGAAGTGTAATGCTACTAGAAAAAAACATATTTTGTATTTATTACGAACACTTGGTATTTATCCTTATATGCACTATGGTATGAGAGATCTCAGTCTATCTCTACAAAGACGTGTAGGTTTAGCTGCAGCTCTAATTGGTTATCCATCTATTTTATTATTAGATGATGTTACCAGTTCTCTTGATCCTTTATCAAGACGAAGAGTTTGGGCAGCTATTAAATCAGCACCAAATGGTACTGCCGTAGTGATGTCAACAAGAACACCGGATGATGTGGAGATGCTTGGTGATCGTGTACTTTTACTGGATGAAGGGATGATGCGATATATTGGAACTCCAGCTGAATGGCGAGAGGGATATAAAAAAGGATTTTACGTCTCTATTGATGTTTCAAGATCTCATGAACCATGGACACAAAGACGACCTAATTATACAGGAGAAGAAGAAGAAATTCTCTGTAACTTTTTTTCACATTATTGGAATGAAAGTATTTTGGTGGAATCTCAACCTTTTCATTTTGTATTTCATATACCTTTCTATACCTACACTAAGGAGGAATTAACAGAAGCAGAAGTGATGCATACATCCAATGATTCTATACCTAACACTGGAAAATCTTCACCACATAGAAATACTGTTAAAAGTATTCTTGCTACCCTTATCAAGGGAAGAAATGAAGATTGGTTAGTGGAAGCTCTCCATGAAGAAGATGCAAATAATAATAATAGTATGAGAGAATCTCGCTATTCTATTACTGTTTCTGAAACAACCATTAAACACACCGCAATGACTGCTTTAGGTGAAAGTATCTCATTTCAGCGTTCTGCTCAGAATTTGTATAATCGTAGTGTATACGTCCCTCCACGGGACTGCAGTGCATCCATTTGAGGATAATGTTTTTATTTTCCTCTTTTAGTTTTAATTGATCGCCGGATATTACTTTTTTTTTTTTCACTCTCTCCCTTCTTCCCTCTTCCAGTATTATTTTTCTGTTATATTTATATGTCTGTGTACGTACGTTCTGCTTTTTTTTTCCTGATTACTTAAATTATATTTATCGCTTTTTTTTTCTTGCTTTACATTTTTCTCTCTCTACAAAAAAAAAAAAAAAACATAAACGAAAAAAACAATTTATCTTGGAGTTGGATTCTCTAGTTACTGTGTTTTGTGTTTCTATTTACATGCACAGCTTCCATATCTCTTTTTTTTCTGTTTATTATTATTTATTTATTTATTTGTTTTTGGTTTTCTCTGTCTTTCTTTTTCTTTCTTTTTGTGGTTTCACAGTGGATAGCAGGTATAGAGAGAGGGAAGAAAAAAAAAAAAAAAAAGGAGAAACTTGATAAAAAAATTATTAATGGACTCAACAAAACCTGCACCTATCAATATCAAGCCAATTGTATGGAAAGAGAGGATTAAACCTTCTTACGCGGACCATGATGAAGAAATGCAACGTGTGGTAGCTATTATTAAGGGAGGACATGAGAGTCGTCTCCTTCGATGGATTGAAATCTGTGATTCCATAAATAAGAAAGATTCAGGAGGGAACACAGTGCTTCACTGGGCCTCTTCCCTCGGTAGTTTAACTGCTGTGACCCGCCTTCTCTTAGCTGGAGCTGATGTGAAGGCGGAAAACCAAATAGGGGCAACACCTTTACACTGCGCCGCTGTTGGTGGTCACGCAGCGGTAATTGAACAACTTTTACGTAATGGTGCAGATGCGATGGCGAAAAACGGTGATGGACAAACTATGTTTGATTTGTTTCGGTCTTTAGGATGGAAAGATCTTTCCATTCTGTATAATCATTTAGAAAATGCCCTACATATTCGTTCCTTTGATTACCAAGAGAGGGAAAGCATAAATTTTACAAGAGAAGCATTTTTGGGTGCCCTTGTTTCTCCTGTTGTGCGAGACGGGAGTCCGCTGACGGAATCATGTGCTTCTTTCGCATATTACACGGTCTCCAGCGACGATCGGGTCTACGTGGATGAGTTGGATGAGTGCCTGTGGGGATTGGCGTTGGAGGTGCTCAGCGCCGATGAGGTGGCGGACCGCCAGGCGGTGGTAAATGAATATCTCGAGTGGGCCTTGCAAGTTGTCTTTGATCCTTCTCTTGCACCTCCTCCTCCTCCTCCTCCTGCTGCTGCTGCTGTTGTTTCTCCTCCTGCTCGTATCCCGACGGCGAATATGAATAATAACAGTAGTAGTAATCCCAGTGTGACGGTAGTGCCGGTGACGCAGCCGGTGGAGGCGGTGCTCGGCGAGCGACACGCGGGGGATTCCCGCCAGCTGCTCGTGCGCCTGCGGGACGGGGCGATTGTGTGGGCCGCCGAGGAGGACGTGGCCAACGAGGCCGCCGTGCGGGACTACGCCGACCGCCTCGACCACACCAACGTCTCCTTTGCCTCCTCCCCCACAAACACCTACAGCAACAGTAACGCAAACGGCAATGTTTTTCTGTGCGGGGATCCATTTGAGTATTCCGAGCGTGTCGAACTCGCACGGCAGTTGGAGCAACTCCCACACGGCCGCCTCCCATCGCCCACAGCAACACAGCACATTGCAAAGATGCAGGAAAACACCACACCGGCAGGGGTATTGCCACCGCTGCGGGTCTCACAGCAATCAAAGGGGAACGTTAATAGAGGAATTTACGAGCCGTACCTCCCTGCATTAGAAACCGATCATCATATGCGTCTACAACATGAACAAGAACAAGAAGCAAAATGGTTACTGGAAAGTAATCCTATGAATGTTGGGCTACCCAAGATAGGATGTGGAGGAAACCTTTCCAATGAAAACATGACAAACACGTTGGCATACTACAGTAGTTCGGATGGGGTAGATACTACACACAATAGTTCCTATGACCGTGTAGATACAGGAAAGAAAAGAAATAACAATAGCATAAACAGTGGAAATCATTCTTATGGTGAAAAGAACGTTACAGAGGGAATTCATACCACAGAAAAAAGAGGAGGAGGGATTAGGGGTAAGCTGCCTCCAATACGACAGGTACTATCAGAGGATGAGAAGATAGCGTATGAGAAGTTTCTCCGACAATCTGCTCTAAAGTATCTTAGACGCAAGACACAGGAGATGGGACTGCAATTGTGACACTGTAAATTAATATAAACTCTCTTATTTACCTTCTTGTGGTTTTTTTTTTTTTTTTTCTCTAACTATCTATCTAGCTCTATCTCTGTGTGTGTGAGTGTGTTCAGACCATTTATTTTATTTTGCCTCATACACACACACACTAGTTTCTGTTTCTGTGTATTTGTCTTTGTATGTGTCTATTGGTTTGCTTTCCTTGCATTTCTAATTAATATGTTGGTGATCTTTTTTTCCTTTTTGCAATATTCGTAACCATTATTGCTATCAACCATTTCTTTTTTTTTTTTCTTTTATGGAATTGGTGTCAGAACTAAATTGAAAGACTGAGACACTGGTTTTATTCACTTTGCCATTCACTCTCTACAGTTCTTCTCTTTTGAAAACAGTGATATGTGTGTGTGTTTTTTTTTTTTGTGTGTGTGTGTGTTATGGAACTCCAATTGTTCAAAGAAACGAAGAGGGAAAACGAAAAAAAAAAGAGAAGAAGAGGAATAAATTCTGAATATTCAAAGCATTTGCCATCAATATTATGTACCGAGTGGTTTTTTTGTTTCTCTTATCTCCTACCGGAGTAGAGGAATTTATAACGCGACTCGATAAGATCAACTCTCTGTAATTAAGAGCATGTGTTAATTCTTTTTTTTTTTTTGTTGTTTGTTTGTTTGTCTGTATATGTGTCTGTGTGTTCTTCTTGCATTTGTTATTTGCATCTTTGTGTTTTTTGGCTTTCCCTTTCAAGGAGCCCCCACTTTTTTTTTTTCTTTTTTACTGTTGTTTGTGTTGTTTTTTTGTATTGTATTTATTTTTCTTGGAATGATAATGTTTTTTTTTTTTTTTTTGGCGTGTTTTTGTATTATTGGTTCTGTTGGACATACTGTGAAAATCAACAGTGCTAAGAATATAATATTACGATTTAGTTCGTGAAAAGTGTAAACTGAAAAGAGACGAGGTGCTCTTAGCAGAGCAGCTTTTGTGCTCAGTACGTACTTGAGAGTTTTGAATAGGTTAAGTCTATAGAAGGACAAGAGAAAAGAAAGAAAGAAAGAAAGAAAGAGAAAAAAAAAAAACTATTTCAGATTTTTTTTCTTGTACATTTTTTTAAATGTAAATATATATGCATCTATATCTATGGTTGTTTATATTTATGGTTGTTCTTTTTATTTATCTAAAAAAAAAAAGAATCTAGTCTCTTTTATTTTTACTCTTTTTTTTTCTTTTTGTTTTCTTCTTTGCAGAGAATAAGACTTAGTAGCACCAATATTGTATGAAGACTGCAGATCACCTTAGGTCCCTCATTAGTGATCTAGAAAACTACGAAAAGGAGTTGAAGGAAAAAGTTCAGCAAAAGGAAGCAGAATTGGATTTATTACTTCGAAAAGTTTTATCCGAAAAATCTACCAAAGTTTCCTTTTGTAATACCAGTAGTAATGCAGAAAACCCGTGCGAATTCGCAACTGCCTCTTCTGCTTTTCAACTCCGCATATCACGCAATCCCATCAAAAGAGAAGTTAAAGACAATATGGTGCGATCGCCTTCACCTTGTTTAACAGGAGAGAAGAGACGCTTAAATCCATCTACAGTCTCTACTACTATCTCCAGTAAACCTGTCGAGAGTGTAAAGGATTGTAATTCTAACAATTACTTCCAGGATCCACAAGATGACTCTGGTTTAATTAATATAAATGAGGTTTCATCCATTTCCCGTGCTAGTAATGATATCTCCATGGACTCTGGATGCCCCACAGAAGCTGAAGTCCTCTTAACAACAGGTCTCACAGAGAAGAGTCGACCAACAACACGTCGCGTACGCTTCGTAAGCCGAAGCCCACAGATAGCGTCATCTGATCTTAACAAGGATAAAGAAATTCATATGAAGCCAGAAAAGATATTAAAAGGAAAACCCCGTAGTACCCCAATGCCAAACTCAAAGACTTTTCGAAACTCTTCTTTACAATCTCTTCAGAATGATGATAAGGCGAATGAGTGTTGTGCATCTCCTGTGGGGATAGTATCTAAATCACAACGCATCATAAATAAAGAAAACAATAATACTTTGCCAAATAATATCAATGATCATGAAGATAAACCTTGTTATATTCGTCAAGATCAAAAACAGAGAGGTCCAAAAGGACCTTCAGAAGACTCTAGATGTATAAAAGACAAGACAGATAATATTTCTTCAGATGTTTTGCTGCCGAGACTCTCTTCATTGCGTGAGTCTGACACAACGCGTCCAATTCAGCGGAGAGTTGATGGAATCCCATCGCAACAACAACAACAAAGACAACAACAGAAAAGAAACAGAAGTTCTGATTTGATAGTGAAGACTCCTCGCATCTCCGCTTCACGTAGTGTGAGTGCTGCAAGAACACAGATAGCAAGTAGTGTACAACAGGAAGGTAGAGGGGCTGGAATCGTTCTTGCTTGTGGTCCTACACTATTTTTTGACTAAACTCATAAATATTATTTATTATTATTATTATTATTATTATTATTATTATTATTATTTTCACTTTTTTTTTCTTGTTGGCGTATATTAATGTAGTTTTAATTATTATTTATTTTTATTTTTTTTGGTTTTTACTTGGTTGTGGGAAGGAGCATTGAAACAGAGTTTAATATGGAAAGAAGAAAAAAAAAGAATAAAAAGAAAAAAAAAACAGAAGGACTGGTTGAGAAAAAGAGAAAAGTATTTGGTTGATTGCATTTTGGATTAAAAGTAATTCTTCCTTTTTTGTGTGTGTATATTTATATATTTCATACCAATGATATTATAACGTGACGCCCTTTTAATATACTTTCTCTGTTTGTTTCTTTTTTTTTTTGTGTGTGTGTGTTGTTGAAGTCTCTTTAGTGTGGAGGGAAAATCATCATTTGAGAAAAAAAAAGAAAAGAAAAAAAAAGACAGAGGAAAACGAATAGAAATTTCAAATAAAAAGAAGCAAAGAAAGGGAGAAAAACACCTGTGAAGAAGAAGAAGAAGAAGCCAAAGAGAAAAAAAAGAAAAAAACAAAGAAAAAGCAAAACAGAAGCAACACTTTAAGTTGACAGTGAATGTCGGACGTGAGTGTTATCGGTGCTGTGGTGCGCCAGGCAGCGGAGTCGCTGCAGAAACTCAAAGCGGCGTATGATGCCAAAGACGACGAGACGTGTCTCTCACTTCTGGTGGATATTAAAAAGAAACTCATTCTGTTGCCCACCTTTCTCTGCCCATCGCAGCAAAGCCCTAATCGTCTGCAGGAACTCATTCTCACACGTGAGGTGTTGGAGCATGCCGTGTTGGTGAGCGCACGACTGAAGGACCTTGACAACTTTGAGTTGTACTTCAATCAACTCAATGTGTATTACACAGATATTGATGTAAGCGAATTGCCAGAGTCTCCCTTGTATTTATTGATTCTTGGACTTAATTTGGTGCGTCTGCTTGTACGAAGCCGCATAGCTCAATTTCACTCTGAATTGGAAAAGATACCCAATCAAATTCATGGCACAAATACTTATATTCGATTCGCTGTTCTTCTTGAACGCTATTTAATGGAAGGAAGTTACAACAAATTACTTAACTCTCGTCATCAGGCACCATCTAATGAGTACATCCCAGTTGTGGAAATGTTAGAGAGTACAGTGCGGCAAGAGGTGGCAGAGTGCATTCCCCGTGCGTACACGACTCTCTCTATTGATAAAGCACAAAAGATATTGATGGTGGATTCTTCCGAAGATGTGAAGCAACTTGGTCGACGGTTTAATTGGCAACTGAGTCCTGATGGTAGTAGTTTTCTCTTCACACGTGAAGAAGATGTAGCAAAAGCGGAAGTACCGTTCCAAGATATGCTAAAGCATCATCTTCACTTTGCAGCAGAACTACAACGGATTGTGTAGGATCTGTTTAATTCCTATCTCTCTTTCTCTCTCTTTCTCTTTTTTCTTCGTTCGCGTGTTTATTTCTTGAGGAAATGAAAAAAAAAAAAAAAACTGGCGTTTGTGTGTGTATCTGAGAATGGGTTTCTGCTTCTGTGTCTTAAGGAGATCGGACAGAGAAGAGAGAGAGAGTGAGAGAGAGAGTGAGAGAGAGGGAAAGATATATATATGGCCTTTTTTTGTTTTCTCTGTTTTTCTTTCACTGTTCTTACTTTGCAAGATAATAAAGAGAAAACAAAAAGAGAGAAAGAACCAAACACTTGTTCGATTATTGGCTTTTTCTTTTTATTATTGGCTACTATCATTGCAATGTTTTATTACTTCCAATTTATTTATTGGATCTATTCATCTGTTATTTATACAGTTTTACCTCTCTCTTTCTCTATATTTATGTGTGTACATGTGTCTGTATTTTTGTGTGTGTTTGTGTGTATAAGAGCAATATTTATTCTCTTTTCTTCTCTTTTTTATATATTTGTTGACCTCTTTCACACGATGATATCCATTGTTAATAATAATAATAATAATAATAATAATAATAATAATAATAATAATAAGAGGTAAAATAAAATAGTAAGAGAAAATGCCGCCGGCAACAAAGTCGGCTGCCCAAGTATATATCAAACGTCCTGATGGCACGGAAACACGTATTGTGCGGCATAAACCCCGGCCTGTGCAGCAACGCACTGATTTAGAGAGCGCCAAACGGGACGAAGATCGTGAAGCCGTTCTCGCCTGTCCACCCTACACAGCTAGCTTTAACGCCCTTTTAAAGGAGAGACGTGAAAAGAATAGTCGTGTATTAGTAAACGCTGTGTTAGAACGAATGCATGCAGAAGCAATTCCTTTAAATGTAGTAACATATAATTTGCTCATGGAGCGTGTGGTGTCATTTCCTGATGACATTATCTTTAGACTTTATGAAGAGATCAAGGAAGAATCTTTAAAGGAAAATAGTAGCGTTCAACCTGATCTTACTACATACCAACTATTGTTTCGTGCATGTGAACGGAAGGCACAGTATAATCGTGCCTTTTTACTCTACAAACAGTTACGTGATTTGATGCATATAGTACCTGATTCTCCAACATATGATACATTATTAGGTTTCTGTGCGGCTGTGCGAGATGTTGCCCAAGCTTCTTATTTTTTAGAAGAAATGAAACAAAATGGTGTGACACCTGATGCGAATACGTATAATTGCCTTATGAGTGTTTTAGTAGAAAGTGCACCTTATGATGAAACTTTACGGGTATTTCAGGAAATGATAAATGAAGGTATTAAACCTACGGTTAGAACATATAATATGATTATCAAAGCTGCACAAACTAATGGTGACTATGATCGTGCATTTCAAACCTTTGAAGAGATGAAGAAACGTGGTTTACTTCCAGATGTTGTTACTTATAATACACTTTTATGTATGGTAGAGAATCGAATAGAATATATAATGGGTCGTGGTCCTCATGGACATATTCGTAGAACTTTTGAACAACGAAAACATGGGAAAAGAGCCATTGCTGAATTAGGAACGACTCTTTTTTTGGAAATGGAATCTATGAGTGTACAACCCAATACGTTTACGTTTAACCAAATTATGACTGTACTTTTAAAATGTGAAGATCACCGGGTGTTTAGTGTATACCGAACTATGCAAGAGCGCTACGCCAAGAATAAGGCAGAGTTACAATTACAAGAGAAGCGTGAGGCGAAACGAAAGCGAGCCATGTTATGGATGCATGAGGAAATCGGTGAAAAGAATGAAGAAGACTCTAAAAGTGATCTCAGCACAGATGCCCCTATTTCCCTTGATGAGGTGATGGGAATGGAGGATCCCCAGCGACCGGCACGCATTGCGGCCCGTCAGATGCGACCCAACATTGACACGTATCGTCTTATTATTCGTGCCTGTCTTCAGTTGGGCTTCGCCGAGCACTGCGCGCACTTCTACAAAGTGATGACGGCGGAGGGTCTGGCGATGGACCGCGACTTGGCGCTGCTGCTCGAGGAGGTCTGCGAGGCGACGGGCGACGCGGCGTGGGGCCTCGCGGTGCTGCGGGCGTGGCCGGCGGACGGGGGAGTTGTGAACGCGTACCTCCGACTTCTCGCGGCCCGCGGCGACGAGGCCCTCATCACCGCCGTGGAGGAAATGCGGCTCGGCGTGAGTCTCTTCGGGGTGCGGCCCGACGTGGACACCTTCAATATTCTCCTGCGCGGGTATTTGCGGATGGGCCGGCACGAGGAGGCGGAGAAACTCTTCGCCTCCATGTATCTCACCTACAGTCAAGTCACACCAAACGCAGAGACATATGAGTGGATGCTGCGGATATACAGAGAGACGAAAGATACAGAGGCAGCGGCACAATTGATGCAGTCTATGCAACAGCGTAAAATTACCATCACCATTCAACATTATCATGAATTTATGCGAGTTTATTTAGAAGTAGGGGATTCCACATTATTGGATATCTTTCATTTATTATTAAACTCTACTGATGGTACAATCCCTAAAGCTGATACAGAGTGTTATCATCTCGTCCTTCAGTATTATTTACGTCAACAACAGTATGAAGAATTGGAAAAACTTTTTGCAAGCATGAGAGCATCTCAATTCATTGAACCTGATACTGGTTGCTACAATGTCATGTTAGAAATGTTTTCTATTCATAAAAAAGTAGAAGAGTCGAAACTCTTATTTGATGAGCTTCGCACAAAGTGTGTCCCTGCTGATATGACAACTTATAATACTCTTCTTCGAATTTTTGCTCCATCAGGAGATGGTGCCATGTATGATGTCCTGGAAGAAATGAAAGCAAATTATGTAGCACCAGCTGCAAGTACCCTAGGTATTTTACTTGAGTATGCAGAAGGAAGAAAAGTTGTTTCGGACTCTATGAAGCGCGACTTATTTTGGGATCCTGCTAAAGAACTTGAAGGACTGCTATAACGAAAGGTATTTGGCATAAAAAATAAAAGAAGAAAAAAAAAAACGACATGTACAATATCGTTTAGGTTGGTGGAATGGGGGATAAAGAGAGAATAGAGAGAGAGAGATGATTTTTTTTTATCAAATTTTCTCTTGGAATATATATATATATATATATATATATATATATATGTTTATAAAATTTCTTTTTATTTTTTTCTTATCTTTATTTCCCTTGACGTTTGTCTTTGGTTAATAATGGAGTTAATTGCAAATCTTATTTATTGGTGTTATTACTTTTTTTTTCTTTTTATATTTATATTTAGTCGATCCATAATCGGAACGAGAGTTTACACTCAGAAACAACCGATAATTAAATAGACAAAAAGAGAAAGAAAGAAATTAAAAAAAGAAAAAAAAAAAACAAATGCCGCCTACCTTTCGGCGTCGCGTAGTGGTAAGTAAGGCAGTGCAGACCGAAGCCTCATTTCCACCCGACTGCCAGGATACCACAGCGCATGTAGAGGAACTCGCAAGTGAACAGTTTCATGATCTCTGTAAACTTCGTGATGTAATTCGTGATGCTATGAAAGAAGTTGCCTGCTCTGTATATGATGTGGTATCCTTTAAGGATGTTCTCTTTAAGATGGAAGAGGAACTCCCGTCAACTCTGCCTGTAACCGATATGCTGTTAATATCATCTAAACTTTTTCGTCGTACGGCAGAGTTAGGTCGTCTGCTTGCTTGCTTCTTTGCTGTTACCTTTGCCGAGCAACATGCGGATGAGGATTTTCATTTCACCGAGTTACGAGTGTTGCGTCGTGAGTTAATTGAAGTAAGGAAAGAGTGCGCCAAAGCCGTGGAAGATCGGGATCGCCTGCAGCGCATGTTAGACGATGTTGGCCGTGTCGCAATGAATCATAGTCGTGCGGTGGATTTACTAGAAACACGAAATACTGCACTGCAACTGCAGACAAGTGGTCTTGAGGATCAAATGGCGTTACTTTTCTCGCAACTTAACAAAGATCTTCATCGTCAGTGTAAAGATGCGTATGAGCGGGTTACTACTGAGATTGAGAATCAAGATCGTATGAATGTCACTAAAGCTACCTTTCGTCAAACAATGGATTCTTTAAGCGATCAGTTGCGTCACTCTCGTACTCTTATTAATGATGTGCGAGAACTTGTTATAAGTTGTGCACAAGGCGCAACTGCAACTGGAAGAGGTGCTGATGCACAGATATCGAAGGAACCAAGTATTCGTTTTAAGTTAAAACAGGTGGAAAATAATTTTCAGCAACTTATTAGTCGTTTTTCTTCTGTAAAGGGTATTGTAGCGGAAACGGCACAAGAACTTATGAATGCCTTACATGAACGAAAAAATATTCTTTATCTTTCATTGCAGCATATCCGTTTATATGATATTCAAAATAGTAAAATGCGACGAGGAAAAGCTGTTGTTGTTGACATGAAACGAGTTATGGATGAATTAAGAAAACGATTAGGAGTAACATTCCCTCCTGGTGCTGTTACTTTTGTGGATCGTATTGGACGTATTTCCACTCAACAATATCAAGTAGGACAGACCTTAGCCACACTACGAAATCAAAAGACGAGTGAAAATCCAGATGATGATTCGGTTGTTACCGGTGGTCCTCCTTCTTTACCATCAGCTTCACCAGTAACGCAAATGCCACCTCTTTTAGGTCCACAACGTACCTCTGCGGATTATGAATCTCCTATTAATGAACAATCTGGATATTTCCATATGGATACTACATCCCGAGACTCTCTTACCGGAAATAAAATACCATTTCAAACTGTATATAATGTTGTAGATATGGTTAAAGCGTTAGAACGTTCTATGGAAGGATTAGATGAGACACTGAACTTTGAGAATGAAATAAATGCATTTCTTAAGACTCTTACTCTATCACTTTCTACTACACCTCGTGAAGTGGATGAAACCTTTGGAGAATTTCTCGATCCTGATAAATCAGTTGAAAAAGCACTACTTCCTACAGGTGATGCTTCTCTTAAACAGAGTACTACAACATCAGTGTCCACAGCACGGCGAGGTACACATGAAATTGAAGGAGCAAATAGCTCTATTCTTTCCGCTATATCTCATACTGACAGAGGGCACTCTACAGATGATAAGGTACATGCTGCTGTGGTTGAACAAGAACAGAGGGTAAAGAAGTTACAAGATCAATTAAATAGTGTTCGACCAGAGTTTGCGGCAAAGATCAGTTTCTTACGACAGGTATATGAAGCTCGTATTTGTGATCTAGAAGTGAAAGAGGCTAATTTTCAACGCCGAATTGGTGGGGTAGGTGGTGCTGGAGGAGGTGGAGGAGGAGGAGGTTCTTTACATAAGGAAGGTAAAGAAAAAGATGGGAAGAAACGAACTGGAGGACGCAGTGAATTTGACGTTTCTTCGTCTCCCTCACCAGAAACAATGGAGATGGAAAAACGTCGCAAGAAGGATGATCGGGATCAACTTATACAATACCGCACAGAGTGGCAGCAAACGAAGCCAATACTTCAGGGAAATAAAAAGACACGTGAAGCAGCACTGAATGAAATTTCCAGGATGGCGAGAGGAATGAATCCGGGTGAAAAAACAGATAGGAGTGAGAGAGCTCAAAGCTCTCGTTCCAGGAGGTCTTCTAGGAGTCCAGCGTCATCCACGAGTAGGAGATTGTAGGATTCGCTTAGCCATATATATATACAGGCACAGACACTTTCTCCTATTCATTTTTCTCTCTGTTTCTGTATGTATGTGTGGGTGTTTTTTTTTTTTTTTTTTGTTGTTGTTATTGTTATTATTTCGTTGACGTATGTAAGCAATTTTTATGGTACCTGCACACTGGGATGTTTTAGCAGTACCTCAAAACACCAATATGGAAAGTATTTTCAAATTTCTTTTTTGTCGCCATTATTTCTATGATATATTTATATATGGAAAGTAGAACTCTCGTGAGTAGTGGAACTGTTTTGTTTTTGTTGTTTTTTTTTTTATTATTATCTTTTTTCCCTTCTTGTTGTTGTTGTTGTGACCTTGCTTTTGTTATTCTTCTTTAAGAGGTTGTACGACTCACATACACACTCACTCACTCACTCACTCACTCACTCACACGATCCACTGTGGTTAGAAATAAAGCGAAAGAATATTTAAAAAAAGAAAAGTAGCAACCAAAGAAGTTCTAGACCCAAAGGGAACTCATGACACATTCAAAGGAGGATACAAAGGTGTTTGCTGATATTATTGCACGTGATAGTGAATGTAAAAAGTGTTTTGAATGCGGTTCACCAAATCCCCAGTGGTGTGATGTGCATCATGGTATTTTCATCTGTCTTGATTGTAGCGGTGTTCACAGAAGCCTCGGCGTGCACCTCTCATTTGTGCGGAGCTCCACAATGGATGGATGGACGAATTGGCGTCCGGAGAAGTTAAAACAAATGCAACTCGGTGGTAATCGCCGGGCTCGCGAGTACTTTGAGCGCCATGATGTCCCCCGTCTGCCCATTCAAGCCCGATATGAGTCCCTCGCCGCCCTCCGCTATGCCGCCATGTTAGAAGCGGAGGCGCTCGGGCAGCCGTTCAGCGAAGAGACGTGGACCCCACCGGAGTGGTACGATCGCTTGCGGCAACAACAACAACAACAACGGGGAGCCGGCGGTGTGCCGCTGCAGGCACCGCAGCAACACCGTCCAATCACTGGTATGGGGAATAGCAACAACAACAACAATAATGCGGGAGGCGGTGATTGGTATAATTCCCTTGCAAGTGGATGGGCCACGTTCTCGAAGAAAACGACAGAACTGGCGGAGACGGCAAGTTCACAGGCGCGTACACTTATTCGAGATACCAATGTGGACGATGTGAAGACAAAGTTGGCCTCAGGATGGTTTACAGTATCGGACTACGCAAACCAATTATCATCTAAAATCACAACTATTGCCGCAGGAAATGATGATGATGGTTTAACAGGTCTCACTGCAAAAGCTAGAATGGCAGCACAAGAGAATGATGTCGCTCCATCAGGGACACGTGGAACTTCTAATTCCGCACAGCAGGGTAGCACGATGGCTCTATCATCAGGTTTTACTGGTGTATCCCGAAGCACTGATAACACAAACCAGCAGCAAGAAAGCTTTTGGCCAGAGTCTCAAGCACAGAAAGGAGGTGTGCCTGAAAATACTTTGAAAGCTAATAATAGTAGGGCACCATTAAAGAGGAAAGACAGTGGTGAATGGGCTTGGGATGAGTAATCAAAACCCTTCATTTGCCTTTTTTTCTTCTCTGATGGAGTAAGTTTAAAAGAAAAGGAAAAACTTTTCTTTTTACAAAAGAAGTAAAGAAAGAAAAAAAGAAGAAGTGTAACAAAAATATATATATATATATATATATTGTGAAGGTCTTTCGAATAATATGGTTTGAAACAGTGAATAAAATAATTAGGTATCCATATTCTTATCAGACACACCAACACCTGATAAAAAGTTTATATACAAGTTTATACGTTGAAAGGTATTCGTTAAAAGAAAGAAAAAGAAGGAGTCGGGTGATGATATGGAGATGTTTTGGAGGAAACAATTATTAATAAAGTGAGAAAGTTTCTTTTTTTTTCTTTTTTCGTTTTCCATTTATTGTGAGTTGCTGGTGTATATATGATTATTCATGTTAACACAAGTATGCATTTATGTATTCTTGATTGCGACATTGATCCACATCGTACAAATCTCCATGATGGAGTACTTATTAAATTTAAAACAGGATATATATATATATATATATATATATATGGAGAAGTAGAAGTTGTGTTATGAAAAGGTAAAATAGAAGAAAAAAAAATTTCTTTTCATTTTTCTTTTTTCTTCACTTTTTTCTTTTTCTTCTTAACTCCTCGAAACGCCATCTAGGAAGTGGAAGATGGGGTCCCTATTTAAATTGCGTGACCACTGGTATAGCAATTACCACGGTGAGGAGTTCAGTCACACCTCTGCGCTGGCTGTGGGGAATGTTGACAACGACGCCGCCGGTGAAAATGAAATCATCCTCGGCTCCTTCAGCGGCCTGCTGCGGGTGCTGCGGCCCACAAAGAAGGGCGCCGCCCAGCCGGAGGACACACTCTTTGAACGGGAGTTTGGTGAGCCGATCTTGCAAGTGGCGTGTCGACCACTGGAGCCGGTGATGGGAGGAGCGGCTCGCAATTTACTGGCAATTTTGTTTCCCAAGAGACTCGTGCTTGCCCGAGTGTTGCGTGATAAAGAAACAATGAATGAGGAGGAAACTGTGGGTGGAGCTTTAGATGTCTCTTATCGACTTGGTATGTATCACGAGGCAAGACTAAAACACACTTCATATAATTTTACCTACGGTACATTTGGTCGTACAGGGCATGAAATGGTGTGTGTACAGTCTATGAATGGACAACTCACTATAGTAGATCATAATATGATTGTCCTTCACTGTTTTATACCAAGTACACAATTTTTATTACCAGGATGTTTAGCGTATTCTCCTCAACGAGATTATTTTATTACAAATAATTCTGCTATGAATCTTGTTTGCTATACATTTTCAAGTCTTACTAGTACTTCTGTGAAACAAGGGATGCGAGATAACGGAAATGCTGAAAATGATGAAAGAGAAGGAGAAGGAGGAGAAGGAGAAGCGTTAAAGGAAAAAGTGGATGATATTTCACCAATATGGACTTTTTCTTTAGGAGAAGATGTTGTAGCTATTGAAGTATGTCGTCATACACGTGGACTTGATGTAGATGATTCCGATATTGTATTATTATGTCAGTTTACTCTATTTGTTCTATCTTTAAATGGTGAATTACGTTATTCAAAACGTTTAGATGTGGAAGGATTATGTCTAACTTCATACCCTCTCCCAAGTGTAGATGCATGTAACCTTCTTATTGGTACTATAAGAGGATCTGTAAATGTTTACTCGGATATGTCTCTTGAGTGGAGTGCGAAGATGTCATCAGGTGCTCCACAATGCCTTGTTGTTTCAGAATTATTTAAGACAAATGGATTTATTGTTTCCCTTAGTACCGATGGAGTTGTGGCTGTTAATTATTTAGGTACAGACCCTGAAGAAAATCCTATTCAACCACTAGAGAGTAGAGAGACGGAATATGCAGAGATGGAAAGTGAACTACGTCGTGTTCAACATGCTATCAAACAGGCAAGTAACAATGAAACAGTATCTGTAAAGAATGAAGTGCATGTGGAGACAACCGTACATGCATCCTGGGGATCACCAACAGCTATTACAGAAGGACAAGAGGGTACAACCGTATCAACATTAACACTACGCAATGATAGTAAGAAGGATATTCTAGGAGAAGTGACTGTAATTGTAAAAGTAGTGGAACCAATAAAGGTTAATGTACAACAAAGCATTCTTAAAGGTATTCCAGCTGAAGGGATGACACAAATTCCTTTTCGATTTAATGCTTTAGATGTTAAGGATATGATTATACCTTCTTCCTTAGATGTAAATGCTATGGTAATGTACACAAACGCTGAAGGTGTAAGTTGTACTACGAACGCCATTGTACGTCTTCCTTTTTCTCTTGTAGCTCGACCTAGTCCACCTGTGAAAAATCCTTATTTTGTTATGCAACTTAACACAGATAAGGAAAAACCACCTTCTTTGCTAGAAATCTTTTCAGATATGACGTACTCTTCCCATATATCAGAAAACATATTTACAGTTGTTTACACTAACGGTGCTGATGCCACTATTTTGGTTTCAAAAAATGCGAGTCGTTTTCGTTTACAAGCTTCCACTATGGAAGCTCTTTGGCTTCTTGCTGATGAACTTCGTAGAAGATTGTATGATTACTATGGCCCAGAAGTAAAACTTAGTGTTCCTGATCCTATTCCTTTAGAGAATTATTATCGCGTTATCGAAACCCATATTGATGTGAGGAAGGAAATGACAGAAGCACAAGAAGCTTTATCGAAAGCTGCCCAAATGTTTAGAGTAATACAAAAACGTCTATTGGAACTATTTCGAGAGCGTAATCCTGCACCTGTTGGTACGATGGATGTACTTTTAGAAGAGAGTTACAACAATTTACAAAAATGTACGGATACGGTTACTTCTACCATGTTACGACTTCGACAGGCATGTGCTATGTTGTGTTGTTGTTCTAGATTGGTTGTATTGATGCTAGTGATAAAATGCCAAGAAACTCTGAAAAAAAAAGATGATATTCGTCTTCTTGAGTCTATCTTTACTTGTGAGATTAATTCTGATAATGATGTTGGTTGGGAAGAAATTACAGATACACTTTTGGAACGTCTTTTACAGGGTTCTCTTAATCGGACTGTTAAATCAACATCTAGTGGTAATGATCAACTTGCTGTAAACCTTGATGGAGGACGTTTAAAAAAACGTATTGGTACTCTTTTTGAGAAAATTCTTACCGGGTCATTGGTCACATTTTCATAGATGAACGAATATAAAACAGAAAGGTACAAGAAAAATCTGTGGAAATCCCATTTATTTATTTCTGTTTTGTATGTCTTTCTCTCTCTCTTTTTTTTTTTTTTCTTCGTTCTTCTCACTCTCCGTGTGTTTATGTGGGTGTTGCTAAATGTTTACGCCCATCATTTAATGCTGTGAATTGGATTTCTAGCTTTTTTTCTTTGCCTTTTCTTGTTAACATCATATCAAATGCCTTTTTTTTTCTTTTCTTTTTTTGTTTCTTTGATCACTTATTTACGATCACTTTTTTTTTTTTTTTTCTTTGAGTGGTGTGTTTGTTTCTGTGTGTGTGTGTGTGTATACTGCCACTTATCAAGACAGTAATGGCGAGCACGACGGTGAGTGGTCCACCGGGTTCGATGGCCGCCACACCGAAAACACGAAAAAAAGGAAGAGGTGGAGGGAATAATTCCACGCAGAAAGGTAGTGTGAAGTCAACTGATATACGCAATGTAGCTGTTGTTGGCTTGAATTTGGAGGATGTGTATATTTCTCTGGTAACAACTAGTACTTCTTCTTCTTCTTCACAGAAGATACGGCATGGTCCTTTTGTTACCGTCTTTTCTCATCCCCCGCCTGCGAGAGGTGTGATAAATAACAGTAATTTTTGTTTTATAAATGCCATTTTGCAAGCGTTGGTGTTTACTCCTCCGTTTGCGCAGTTAGCTGTCTCTGCCATCAGTGTATCGGAGATGTGTCCTTTGCTTAGCACCTTAGGCAAGTGGTTTCTCTCATACTGGACAAAACCGGCAATGCAATCCATCGCACCACCACGTTTATCTGTAATGACGAATACACCGACAACGTCTTCTTCTTCTTCCACTCATTTGGGCGTTAGAAGAATGGATGGGACCATGCAAGAGGATGCACCTGAATTTTTGCACCGCATACTTGAGACCATTCGATCCGAATTATGTGGATTGGAGCAACACTGCCGAGATTCAGGTTTATGTGAGACGGATAAGTATTCTTTATGTACAGATTCTGTTGATACGAAGGGATGGACATTTGTGAAGGGTAAAGAGAAACTATCTGTACGGGAACATTCCGAGGAAGGACGTTCCATCTTATTTGATTCTCTTTTTGGTGGGACACTAGAGAGTCATTTAAAAGGAAAGAGTAAAACAAAAAACTTTGCCTCTGTGGTGGTTGAAAGTTTCTTTGTACTACAAATAGACGTTTGCTTTGGTGCGGATTGCAGCCTTGAGGTTGCGTTAGAACGAACACTACAAACAGAACGAGTACATGACGATGCTCGTGAAAAGGATTTGTTAAAAACATTAAAATTACGACAATTGCCAAATGTTCTTTTTCTGCAATTACGACGATGGGCTGTAACTGCAGAAGGGGAATATGTTAAGCTCGATAATATAGTACGTTTCTCCAAAACGTTAGTACTACCTAAATCAACTTGTTCGGATGCTACTCTAAGCAATTCATTGAGAACATACGATCTTGTTAGTTTTATTGCACATCGCGGCCGTGCGACAGAGCGTGGACACTATGTCACTTATCTCACCAATGCTGCCACCCCAGGAGTGAGGACGGAGGGTGGGAATGATTTGTTAACACTATGCAATGATGCTAAGATAACCACTGTTACCATGCGAGAGGCGTTGGAAACGGAGGCCGTCTATTTCCTGGTGTACATGCGAAGACGATGACTATGTAATTTGTTTTTTTTTTTTTTAATCTTCTTTTTATCTTATCTTTTTTTTTTTTGAAAGAAAAAAAAAAACAATTAATTTAACGATCTTGAGGTGTTTACCGAACATTGCGGTGCTCCTTGTCTCTCTTTTTTGCTAGGCAGTTCACTTGTTTTTTTTTGTTTGACCTTTTTATTTATTTATTTATTAAAAACTTGTGTGGAAAAAAAAAAAAAAAACTGCGAGCAAGATAGGGCTAAATAAATGGAAAAGTTTTTTTTTTCTTTTTTTGTTCATTTGAACCCCAATTTCCCTTCAGATGATTTGATTGATTTTCTTTTTTTCCAGAAAACACTATGTTGGAGTTTGTCGACTGTGTGTTTTTTGTTCTTTTCGCATACCACCGAAATTTCACTCCTCTCCATACGGAGGAGATCTGGAAAGATAACAGAGAATCCCAAAAGATATACACTCCGTAAGTGTTAGGCATACGAATTTGTATGTCGTATCTTTTTTGCTTTTATTTAGGGGATTTTTTTTATTTATTTCTGTGATCTCTTTTTTTTTTTTTTTGTAGGGTGGTGGGGTTTTAGTGGTTTGTAAAGACTGGAAAGATAATCATTCAAATAGGGATATTGGGTTTACTGAACAAAATTCTTCTTTTCCTTTCTCATCAATTTCCCTTCCTAGAGACATGGTATAAGACCGAACCCAGGGGCATATTATGTATGTTAATGTTTTCTGTTTACGTGGTGTTTGCCCGTTTTTGTTTGTGCGTATATTCCGTCTTAATCATTATTTATTTGAATGAAAATGGATTTCTTTTCTTTTTTTTTTTTGTGAATTTTGTATATAAACCAAATAATAATTTAAAGAAAAAAAACTTACTTGCTCTTTTTTTTTTTTTTTTTATCATTTTCCAACTCATCTACCCTTGATAGAACTACAAGTAAGATCTACTCTTGTAAGTATCCAATAAGCACTGTATTAATGGCCGACAAAGTTCCAGTTTCTATCCCCGAGATGGATACTCTCTCTGAGGAACAGGAAAAGATCGTAAAATCGTTCCTTAAAGATATCTCCAAACACTATGGTGGTTCGTATCCTTCTCAATTCATGAAATGCTCTAACGAAGAGGATCGACGTATCCTTGCATACAAGTACCTCAAGGCCCGTCGATGGAATACCGCAAAGGCGATGGAAATGGTTAACAAGACCATGCAATTTCGAGAAGAACATAATGCGGATTCAGTACCTTTGTTTCCCTGTGCCTTTCATCTGCGCGGGTATGATGAGAATGACATCATGAAGACATTAAATGAGCCTTGCGCAGAAGAACAAAGAGAAGTCGATATGTGCTACCTTGCTATGACTCCCTACTACAGTACTGGGTACCACTACTGGGATAAGGAAGGTCATCCTGTTTTGTACGACTTTTCTGGTCGCTGTGATGTGAAAGGATTACTTAAATCAATTAGTCGAGTGACACCTGTTGGTAGTCAAATTAAGGATATATTTCTTTCTTACCATCTCTATATGAATTTTGTGCAAGAGCGTCTTGTACGTTATGCAGATATAAAGAGTGTGGAGAAAGGAGGCCGTCGTATTCTTGGTACTACTGTGGTATTGGATGCAGAAGGGCTTAATATGGGAATGATTGGATCTCAAATTATTGACGTGGTACGTGGAATATTCAATATGGATCAGGAATATTTCCCTGAAACTTTGCATCGTTTATTTGTTATTAATTGTCCTTCTATTGTCATGTATGCTTTTGGTTTACTGAAAGGATCTATTGATGAGAATACTCAACAAAAAGTAATCTTTTGTTCTAAGGCTCAATCCCTGGATGTACTCAAGAAAGTCATTGATGAAGATAAAATACCAAAAATATTGGGTGGATCTTGTGAGTGTCCAGGTGGTTGTGCACCAGGTGTGGACTGTAAATGCAAAAATGTGGAACACATTTGTGGTTCTATGCCACTCACAGTAGATATTTCTATTTCTCCTGGAAAAACACACGTTGTGGAGTTGGAACTCCAAGAAGAAGAAGAAGGACGTTGGGAGTTTGTGTGTAGAAAGGGTGGTAGTACACATACCTCAGATATTCATTTTCGTGTTTTTTTTCGGGCTCAAGAGGATATGGAGTTATCGAAAGATGAAGGTCAAGAACGTTCAAAGTCTTCAAAAAAGTCTGCAGATAATCGAAAGTCAAGTACTACAGACAAGTTTTTTGAACAGGAACTCAAATCAAGTAAACTGGAGAGAGATATGGATTGTTTTGCCGCAGTTAAGCGAGGTATACTAAGACTTGAGTGGGATAATCAATCCTCTTGGGTCCATAGTAAGCAAGTACAGTTACGTGTTTACCGAAGGTGTATTACCACAGGCGCGCTATTAACTCCATGAAACTCTTTTTATATTTAATTCTCTTCTTTGAATATTCATGGACATACATGTATATGGGTATATATATATATACATATACATATGAATATATATGAATATATACGTATATTTCCGTTTGACGCCATGTACATGTGTCTTTCGTTGTATGGAAGAGGAATACCAACCCATCCAGTTTACATTCATTTTCCGTGGAGATTAAAATTCAGTAAGGTCCAACTAAGGGTAGGGGAATAAAAAAACCGAACTGTGTCTCCCCATTTTTTTTTTTTTTTTTACATTTCTTCTTCTTTTTCTTATTTTAGTACTCTGTGGTTCTTTTCCTTTATTCTCCTTTGGTGATACGGTTTTGTATAACTTCGTTTTCTCTTGGACGTGAGGGAATATATATATATTTATATATTTATATTTATATTTATATATATTTATATTTATAAATCTTTACTATGTAGATACGCCCTCGGCCATGTATATCGAAAACTGAGGTCTATGGTGTATGTAAAGATTAAAGAGCAAGTATTCCCTCAGGAGAAAACGAAAAAAAAAAAACAAAAAAAAAACTGATTTCTCTTCTTATATAAAAGTTTTGGGTGAATTCTTTTATTCGGTTTTTATTGCTTTCCTCTAGTATATGATACAGTTATGCATTCGTTTTCAATACCAATGAGTGTGTGCAAAAAAGAAGGACAAGTGTTTCTGAGTATGAATAAGTGATTTACTTGATAAGTAGAATTAGTTAAGTGACTGTTCAAAATGAAGAAAATATATTCAGCTTTATGTTGCTTTCAGTGTTTAATACAGTACACCATTTTGATATAAAACAAAAAGACTCATTTATTAATTTCTGATACCATTTTCAACGTGGGGGATGTCCTTATTATCTACGTGTGAATATGTATTTGTGTACTATTCTTCTTCACGTTAGGGATATTGTTGTCTTCCATTTTTTCTATTTCCTGCATACTCTTTTTTTTTTTTTCTAGTTCTGTTTAATTGCGTTTTTTTTTTTTTTTTTTTTTTTAGCTACTCATACTCTAATGGTATGAAAGCAAGCATTTGTAGTAACTGAACTTACCCGATCGTGATGGGAAGTCTGAATTGTTTCAATATTTCCTCTCCTATTTTATTCTTTCATAGATGTTTTTTTTTTTTGCTTTGTTTTGTTTTGTTTTGTTTTGTTTGTTTCTTTGTTTTCCTGGGGTGAATTGCTTCATTTCCATTTACTTTTCTTTTTTCTTTATTTTTCTTTCTTTTTCTTTCTTTTTATTGATGCCCCCTGCCAGTGCGTGACGGAGACGTTAGCAAGAATATCAATATCAATATCGGATAACAACGAACAAAGATGATGATGATGAGTGGACAGGAGGAGGAGGAGGAAAAAGATATTTTCCTGCTGGAGGCGGGAGAGCGGGAGGAGACGGTCCACATCGCCCCCGCAGGGGATCCCCTCGTGCTGGCGTTGCTGCGCCGCATTGAACAGTACGGCCGGCAACGGAATGGAAGTGGCGGCGGAATGACGGAAACAGAAGGCAGCAGAAGTCAAAGCCGTAGTTCTCCTGAGAGTGGCATCAGCAAGGAAAACAGCAATTATGAGAATAATAATGTTAATAATAATGATAATAATAATGGGGGAGATCCTGAGGGAAAGAGAGCGGTAACCAGTGAAGATATGGTATCGTTTGAGGATTTCCCGCAATTTTATAATTGTGGTAATGCTGATACACGTTATATTCTTGCCCAAAAATATTTGGTGGCTAACTCCTATAATGTGGATGATGCGATGGAAATGATATTAAAAACAAATTCCTTTCGAAAACAACATAAATTAGACAATATCGTGTTATTCCCCTCGCTTATTCCATTACGTGGATTTACAAATGATACAGTGTGCAGTACCCTAAAGCTCCCTACAGCTGAAACAGTGATGGAAGACAAAGCCACAGAGAATGGTGGGACTCATAGAAATTCTTCTGAATACTTAAATAACCATCATGCTCTTCAACCTATATTTGATATGGTGGGAAGTCAATATGCAAGTAGTATACACTACTGGGATAAGGAAGGTCATCCTGTTTTTTATGGTAGTCTTCAATACCTTAAACCAAAGAAAATGTATAAAGATTTAGAACGGATTGCACCACTACGTCAACGCCCAGAGAATCTTGTGCTTCTCCATCACTTGTACACTAATGAACTCCTTGGTAAAATTGTTAAATACTGTGATTATGTAAGGGAAGAAGAAAAGAAAAAAGGAGCTATTAGATCGGAATGTCGAATTACAACCGCTACAGTTGTTATTGATTGTAATAAAATACGAATTCGAGATTTCATAGGTGGTTCATTTAGAAAAATAAGCCGAGAGATAATAAAACTAGATGAAAAATATTATCCAGAAGTTTTTCATCGATTAATTCTGGTAAATTGCCCTGGAAGAATCTCTTTTTCACATTGGGTAATGAAAGTCTTTGGAACAGCCAAACAAGGATTACGACGGAAAATTATTTGCGTTAGTAAGAAAAAAACACCGGAAGTGTTAATTTCAATGATTGATGAAGATAAAGTTCCTCAATTTCTTGGAGGTTCGTGTTCTTGTGTGGGTGGTTGTGTTCCTTTGAACGGTTTAACTTTTGGAAGTGATTGTACCACTAGTTCAACCTCAGCATCAGCGGATAATAGTTCCACACTAACATCGAATGCCGATAGTGGATGTAAGAGTGAAAGTACGAGTCGGACGTCTGGTAATCATCATGATCCCTTTCTGCGGTGTGATGGAACAGAGAATATTGTAGTTGCCCCTCGTCAGAAACACACCATTTCATTCAATATGGAACCCCATGAGGATATCACATGGGAATTTATTGTAAAACGAGGGAAAGTGAACTTTACCGCTGTATTTATTCAGTGCTCATTAGATGGCCACACGAAGGTGGTCTCAACAGCCACGAAGGTAACGGAGTCCGCTGAACATTATGTATCCGATTCACCCGGGGAACTCATATTAACATGGGATAACACAAAGTCTGTGTTTACAGAACGACAGATTCAACTACGCGTCTATCATTCTCAGCGGCGTTCCAATTCTATTTCCAAGTAATCTATATATATATATATATATCGTTTGGAGGTTCATCCGTACATCGCCGATGAGAAAATATTTGTTACTTCAAGTTTCTATTCTAGTAAAGAAGGACGAAACCGAAAAACTAAACAACAGAAAAAAAAACGAACGTAGGATGTAAAACCAAAACTTCTCCTTGTAAATATTTGAGTGGACCGCAAGGAAGATAACTAAAAAGGAAAAAAAGAAAAAATACATACATGGGGTCTACTCTCCTATAGAAAAAAAAAAAGAAAAACGGATTTTTTATTCACTTGATTCTTCGACTTCAGTTTCTTGTTTTCAAAGAAAAAAAAAAACAAGGTGAGGTTTTTTGTTTTTTCAAACCATTACATTGACTTCCTTTGAAAGGATTTCCCCCTAAAAAAAAGATGGGGGAATTTGAAAGGAAACTGCTGATGTACTAAGATGGTGCTTTTTTTTTTCTTCTCTGCTCTGTTCTTCTTGTTCACTCTTTTACTTCCTTACTATATAAATATATATTTTGTGAAGGTATTTGGATGTTTGTCTCCTTGTATTCTTTTTTAATTGGGGGTGAAATAAATGCCTTTTTTGCGGTGTTTCTATGCAAGGGTGTGTCTGTGTCTCTCTGTAGGTGTACGGCCTTTATGTCGCTTGATTTCTCAATATCAAAAGCGTTATTTCTGTTTTTTTTTTTTCGAATAACTGTTGGGTTACAGGGAGAAGAAGACCCGCCAAACAAAAAAAAAAAAAACATGAAAAATGAAAGAAAAAACTTTTTCAATGAACAATCAACTGATAGGTGATGTTGACTAATCTGATTGGTGAGATTGAGGTTGACCGAGTGAAAGGGAGATTTTCATCAAATTTTTTTTTCCACCTCTTTACAATGGTTTCAATCGAAGAAACTCTGAGAGAGTGATAAGTTAAACCTCTTTTTTTTTGTTGCTGTTGTTTTGTTTTTTTGTTTTTCTGTGGGTTCACTTTTGTTTTGCATTCCTTTTTTTTTGTTGGTATTCGCACGTTAACCCTGTGTTTCCACTTTTGGTTTGCCCTAAGAAGTGCTAATGATAACTCTCTCTCTCTCTCTCTCTCTCTCTAACTCTTTTTTTTTCCCTTAACCAACCAAAAAAAAAAAAGAAAGTAATAATAAAGGATAGAGGAAAAGGGAGGAGAAGCTGTGTGTGTTTGGGTGAGTGAGTGTGTGTGTTTGGTCTAGTGATCTTCTTATTATATCTCTGCGCTGTGTTACTTTCATAGGTGTTAACTTTCAATAGTCTCTCACCAGTCTAATGTTTTACAAACTGGAGTTACAGAAAATTATTAAGGTCCAGCCCCATCTCTTGGAGCGTACCCTACACCGTCATCTCGCACGTTACCTTCGTAATGCAGTTGAGGGTCAACCCCTTCAAATGCCGCTTGTGAAGACGAGCGATGGGGAGGTGGTGCGGGCAGATCAAAGCTCCTCGGCCATTATTATTGCCGTACTTGACATTCTCAACACAGAGACTCTTGAGGGACGCGTGCTTGATGATGGTAGTGTATCCTTCTTGCTACACTACGAGGCTATCGTGTTTAAACTTCACCGTGGTGAGGTTGTAGATTTGATGGTGGTCACAGTAGAGCGTGAGGGCTGGTGGGGTGATGTGATGGGAGTGGGAAAGATGTACATCAGTCGTGGTCAGATGGGCAGCGAATGGGTGTACGAGAGTGATGGTGTGGAGGGAATTTGGATCACAAAGGATGGTTCACGTTCGGTAAAGGCTGGTGAGATTGTGCGAGTGCGTGTGGTGGCCGAAACTCCGCAGTCGGAAGGTGTAGTGGCCATTGGTAGTATGATTGGGAAATATCTCGGGCCGCTGTAAGACAGCAGCAGTAAAGAATAAGTGTGTACTTCTTATTTTTCTAACGAATGACGTTTCTACTACTACTACTACCATTGTTGTTAATAATGTTGTTATTGTTATTGTTTTTTTTTTTTTTTCGCTTGTTCTATCTCTAGGTGTATTGTATACTCTCTGGTGATGGTGTTGAACTCACTATCGCTATTGATCGGACTTGGTTAAACTACTATTTCCTTTTTTTTTTATTCGCTATTCTCTTTTTTTACTTGTTTAATCTTTTAGTTCTTCGTTTGTTTTGTGGTGGGGAGTGACTGTTGTACAGTAATTGGTAGAGAGGGTTTCAAGTGTATCACTTTAATACGAGAAAGAGATACTTAAGCATACTCTTCTCTAGAATAAGCGTGTTTATTATTATTATTATTATTATTATTATTATTATTTCTCTTTGAAGATAAACATATATAAACTAAAAGGGTGTGTGTAGAAGATGGTCCATACCGATAGCAAAGGCGCTATTGGTGGGGATAATAGTGATGGGACGACACCCACGAAGCGATCATCATATAATTGGCGGCGTATTTTACTTGGAGCGACCGTAGCGGCTGTGTTGGCAGCTGCATGGTGCAGTGTGTACCGGGCAAATCAGCGTGAGCTTCACGCACGGCGAAAGCAACAACAAGAGAGAATACTGCTGGCAGCTTTGGGGGAAGTACCTGGCCGTCGTTTTACAGTCACAGATGTGAATCCTGAGGTTATACGTAAGAATGCTCTTCTTCAATGAGTATTTGTTTGTTTTATTGATGTTTGTGTTTGTGTGATTGTGGGTTTATTATTATTATTTTTTTTTTTCTGGATGGAGTTCAGACGATCACAATAGGGGGATTTTGTTCCTGAAGATTTGTTTTTCTGATTTTGTTGTGTGTGGTTGTTTTTGATGTTATTGGTTGTCACGTCAGACGCAGCTGTGCTGACCCCTTTTTTTTCTCTCTGTCGATGTATTCCATCTCTTAAAAGAATAAAAACACAGCTTATACTCTCTCTTTTTTTTTGTTATTGTTGTTGTTTTAATGTATGAATTTCTTTATTTTACATATGAATTATCTGCTTGTTTCTTTTTTTTTTTCTCTCTCTCTCTCTCTCTCTCTTTCTCTCTTTTTTTTCTTGATTTATTCGTTCTATGTGATTTGTTCTTGTAGTACGTCAAGTACAACTGGTAGCTGTAGCAGTAGACGTAGTTCGGCGTGTGTGTGTGTGTGTTTGTTTGTTTGTTTGTTTGTTTCTTTGGTGAAGCTGTAAGTGGCGGGACAGTCTAACGTGGGCGAAGGCAACCCCAGCTGCATAGGCATAACCGTTGACAGACTGCAGGTGTTTTCGTTTTGTCGAGTGTGGGTTTTGTAGTTTACCGTCGGTTACATATTTAAGAAAGAAAAATAGTAGTTACTGAGGGAAAGAGAAAAAGGCACAACTTAGACAAGGGCGAGTTTGCAGGAAGGCAGAGAAGAAAAGGGAAAGCGAAAAAACAAAAACAAAAAAAAAAAGAAAAAAAAGAAAAGAGAAGAAAAAAAAAAAAAGAGGAAAGAATAAAAAGGACAAGAAAACAAAAAAAAGAAAAGAAAAGAATAAAAAGGAACACACAGACACACACACACCCACACAGCTTCTGAGGGACTCTCTTCTTAGTAGGAAAACGAAGTAAAGAGATCTTCTTTAAGGCTCCAAAGGTGTACGTTCCTCACGTCATGATGTCGATTCAGAAGACTGCAGGCCAAAGCATCATGAGCAGCGGCGGTCGTTTACCGGATTCACCGTGCTGGACGTACTGTGATGATGATATTGATGGGGTGCCGCGTATCTACGGTGACCGCAGTGCACAGGCCACGTACGGTTGTGCGATTGGACATGGTGGGGACCGTGGTTCACTGGTGTACAGCATTGGCAAGGACCTTCTACCGCTTTTTCACTCTGCCCATCCCTTGGCGTTCAAGATGTACCCTGTCAGCATCACAGAAAATGAGCTGGAGTTTATTCGTGTGCTATTTTCCAGTGATGTTGCCGCTTCCTTTACCACTGGTGAGGAGTGCGGACTGTGTCGTAAAGTTCCATATTTGGTGTTACCACTGGCGATTGTCTCAATTGATGGCGTTGATCGCGGTATTCTTATGATGCAGCAGGACTATAGTCTCAAACAGTTTCTTCTTGCTAGCGGCACCGGTTGTAATTCCGTCAGCGGAGGTATTCCTATGGAAAATGACATGGACGATGAGGATACCTCTCTCCGCTCACGGCAGTCATTTGAGCCAATTCATTCCTGCGCCGTTATTACGGCGATTGCATTTCAACTGGTGGTGGCAATCACCGCACTAAATGAAGAATTACCGCATCTTGTGGAAGGCGTGCACTGCAGCGGCTTCACACACAACGATATTCATCTCGATAACATTCTCCTCGATGCCACCGCCGGCCGTGTGGGGCTATGCGACTTTGAGCTTGTCGCCCACGCCCCTGAGCGATCCCCATCACCGTTGCTATCACCGTCGAACTCCAATCACAATAATGGCCCTTCCCACTCGCACTGTAATTCTCATGAGAGTACGCCCACTGTTGTGCCCTCGCGACTTCACACCCGCATGGCGCCGCACCGTCTGCCGCCGTTAAGCCGCCAGTCCCCGCACGGTCTTTTCAGCCGCGGCGCCGACACGTGGGCCCTCGCGCTCGCCCTCCTGTCGCTCTTAACAGGCGTCGACCCGCTCTTCGCCGACGCGCGGCTGATGGACGACTTTGGCGGCGGTCCGCTGCTGCAGCGCCACACCGACGCCGACGGCTCCGCGCCGGTGCTCGACTGGGACGCCAACATTCACGATCACATTCTCCGCCTGCTGTGGCGCGACGACCCAAGCGGGGCACGGGTGCGGGAGGCGGGGCCGCTGCTGGCACTATGCGGGAAATGTCTCGTCAACCGAGATGGCGCCCGCGCGTGTTCGGCGGTGGAACTTCTCTATGAGCCGCTCTTCCGCGAATACCTTCAGGCTCCGCGAGAGGCGGAAAGAGTGCTGCACGCGTGGATTGAGAGAAGGGCTGCCGGCCCCCACTGACACCAACACCATACCATAACACGCACAGACACAGAGGCATATATATATATATATATATATATATATATATATATAGATAGATAGATAGAAAGGAAGGAAGGAAAGGTGGAAGGCAATTATTATTTGTATGGTGCAATATATGATCGACGATGGTATGGGATCGAAAAGAAAAGGAAAAATCATCTCAAATAAAATGGAAAGTGTGCGTTTTAGGAGTGTGATGTTAACGATGATAAGAAGAATGTTTAGAAAGCTAATAATATAATAGCAGAAGCAATGGTGATGGCGGTGATAGGTATTATTATGTTTGAGAAGAAGAAATAACTTCAAGAGGAGTGTGTTTTGACATGCGTAAAAACAATGAAACAAGGACTGTAAAGAGATTGAGGATGAGAATATCTAAATAAGAAAAAAAAAAATAAAAAAACGAAAGAGGAAATAAGATTAAGGTTTCATCTCTTTATT